CAAAGGCTTTGGCACCTTCAAGTATATTTTTTCTCTTTTCTGTTGGCTTCAACAAATCCAAAGAGATGATGGGAGACTCTCGATGTGATGAATTTACCCTCATTCGCTTTAGGTTGAATCTTATATCCCATTGGTTTGATGCAGGGTGAAAAATGTCACAAGAATTGTGTCTTCCTTTATTGTAGTAAACATTGATAAATCAAACAGAACATTTTATGAGCATTGGAGCATTTCCATTGAGAATTCTGCTGTGGTCTGATCTCTGGTGCCTCGACTCTCATACCTTCATCTCAGAATAGACTGCCTGGTCTCACCTTTCTTTAAACCAGCTTCTGCTTCCACCAGATATTTTGTCATCTACAACATAATTCTATTACCAGACACATCTTTACTTTCCATCGTCACTTATAAAAGATGGGCAATATGTTTGCAAATCTCTAACTTACTCCTCCACCACTGGCTGCTCCACCCCAGGTACTTTTTCCTGTAATCACAATACTTGCAACACATGCTTTTAATCTCACATCATTGAATGTTGCTGTAAAACATTCTGTTCGTGTTTACCTCCTCTGCAATCTTATATTATACACTATGTGTTCCCTATAGTATGGCCTTCTTTATAACAGAGACATCTGCAAATGATCACAGGTTCCACCAATGATGCTCTCTTCCATGTGACGCACCACTTCAGCACCCACTCCATTCTCTCCATGTCTAGATAATTAGGTAAACAGGATGTGTCCCTCCAGGGACAGAGTGTGTATTCCACTCTGAAGTATTTGTTACATATGTATTCCATTCCAATAAATATCTCTGGAATTTATAATAATCCTCGCATTTGATATAGCGCTTTTCACGTCGGGAGGACGTCCCAAAGCGCTTCACAGAACACACTGTAAAGTGAATTGACTGTATATTTGTGGGCGAACGCGGCAACCAATTGCGCACAGCAATGTCCCACAAACAGTCGTAGATTGAAAATGACCAATTTATTATTGTTTTTGGTTTTGGAGGGATTATTATTAGGCTCTGTGTGGAGTAAGGAAACCTGCCCGAGGTTTCACCCTCTGCCGGGAATCAAACCCCGGTCTCTCGCTCGCAAAAGCGAGTGCTCCAAACACAGTTTTCCATGTGTAGGTGGGATGCCTGGAATTCTGTTTGGTTTGGATACCCGTAAGCATAGCGATGGGTTTCTGCATTTGACTTTCCATCATGGCTGACCTTGGCCTCCCCTATCTTAGACATGTGCTCCCCAGACCATCACTTCTGGTTAAAGTCACATCTGAAACTTCTGTTCCAGATATCTGATCTGCTGTGGATTTCCAACGTTTCTGGTTTCATTTCGGATTGCCAACATTCAGTTATTATTTTCATTTCACATTGTTACTAACTATACACCTTAATACATAAATTTACTCTGTCCGTATCTATGATTAATATGTTGTCATAAACATTAAAATGTAAAAACACATCATGTTCTCCTATCTTGGTGTAAGTGCAGATTGGCCACAAATGGGTTTGTTGATTGATTGATATGGATTTATACACAAAAAGACAAGTATTTGTTATGTGTGTAATATTGTCAGCTCTCAGCTATATACAGAAGGAATATGTCTTAATACTGTATTACCCTGTGGGATGTTACCATTCCTATCAATCTGTTGAATTTGGAAACAATTTCTTGTGGATTTTTAAATATCTGTGGCAATGGAGAAATAAAATTGAATGAATGGATATCATGAAAATGTAAAAAAAAGAAGAAAATACAATTCAATCAGACAAACCCATTGCTTCCACATATCATTTGCTTATTTGCTCTCACACATGTTCAATCTCCACAGTAAAGGTTCCCCCACCCCTTTCTCCCTCCAAAGATAAATAAAGCAAAACTCCAGAATACTATCCAATAATCACAGATCCTGAACCCTTTTTGCCAGACAATTCTGTAGTCCCACACATACATCTTCACTGTACTCTCTCAATCTATACTTTCCTTCACATCCATTTAGCCCACTCCTAATCCAGCCATTATTAAAGATGCTAAACAACATAAAATTAACTGGTTTATCTGGGAGGTCATTCTACATAGCTATAACTCTGTTTGTGTGTGTATGTACCCTTCCTGCGGGTAGTATCTCAGTGCGCTCTACAGGATTGTGATTTGATGCCAAGTTAGAAAGAGAGGGAGGTGACTGAAGGTATAGTCAAAGAGCATTTAGATGTGATTTGTAGATGGGCAAAGAAGGGGTAAAATAGAAGGAATGAGGCATAGAGTTCCAGAGATTTGGGGCAAAGTGCCTGAAAGCACAGGAGAGTAAGAGAGAAAAAGAGAGGCATAGTGAATTCCTTATATTCGTGAGTCTCAGTTGAGGCCTGTTAATTTATTTCAAATGTGCACTAATCTTAATGATATCTTCTTTATCATGTGGGAAAAACGTCTCATGCTGTCTCACCTTCCTTCCCCAAATAAACATTCTTTACTTGTATGTAAATTCTATCATGTGGCTGTATCCATTTCTGATGAGGAAACACGAGTCCAAGGTATTCATATCACTAGTTAAGGTAAGGGTTATCTATTTTAACTGTGTTGTCCATCATAGATCATCCTCTTATTTTTAATCATGTCCCCTGTATTATACCACCATTTTGCACGTTAATGTGAACTGGCATATAATATAGCAAGTGATTATTGCACCAGTTCTTATACTGAACCTATTCATCTTCGAATGAACATGTTACAGCTATTTACATACCACTGAATGCTGTGTCCATTACCAATATCATATCATTAATGTTGCATGTTATAGAAATATCAATTCATAAATTTGTGGGTATACAATTTGTTTATACATTTTGCTCCAAGTACTTTAAGAAAACCATGATTTTGAATTCTTTCAAAGAAGTGTCTATTGGAAAAAATCTAAAGAATGTTTAGATGGTGAAATATAAGGAAAAATCATACTCCTGGAGATCTTAAATATTAGTGAGGGAGAATGCAATAAACTAAATTCACAAGTTTCAGAGAGTTTATTCAATGAAGAGCTGAGCTAGAGGCCAAAGAAGATCAGAATTACTGTGTTGAGTGAGTTGGTCTCAGCGAGGGCATTATATTTGTTTTAATGCTTTTAGTGAGGGAAGAAAAAATCAGCCAAGGCTCCTGCTTCCGATCTCTATCCAACAACCTCTGCTGGAAGCCTGTATCATTAGACCTTGGATCAATACAATCAGGCTCAACTCAACTCAATGCACCCCCAAGGTTGAATATCCTCAATGTCAGGTTTACGCTTGAATAATAATGACTCAAGCAAGGTGCCAGAAGGTAATTATAGCATCAAACCCCCATTAGAAAGAATGAAAGGAATTAAATGCATTCGAGAGGAAAAAATTGGAATGGGGAAAATATTTTTTGAGATGCATACCATCATACGCATCTGGACTACAAATGTGATTTACAGTACCTGTGATTTTAGCTTAATAAATCCTTTAACACTGCAGACGAGAGGTGCCATTGTGACCAAAGTTAACAATTCCAGAGCCAGAAAAATGTTCATTACAACCATGTAATTCCACAGAACAGATTGAGATGGTCTGAGTATTAACAGGAAAAAACATCAACTTTTGCACACAGAATATATATTGAGCAGAATACATCAGCTCAAACTGAATTAATAATACTATTTTGTTTTGTGTAACAAAAATGTCAAGATGTCAAGAATATTGCAATTGTAAAAAATGTTCTTTGGTTCAGCACATTTTTTGACAATTCTGTGTTTTAACTATTCATCTTTAGATATTCACCCAAAATCATTTTACTGTGTGTATAAAGATTGTGAAAGCTGTATTACTGCTCAAAAGACTGAAAAACATATGCTGTGATGTAGAACACCAAGAAACCCACCCTGACTGAGTTAGATAGTGTCACAGGCCATATAAGTTTTCTTACTTAAAAAAATGTATTGAACTGATCCTAGATATTACAGCATTTAAGAGCCAGAAATGACATTTAGCTTGACCTATTTCTTGTAATTATCACACAAAGCAGAATAAAGGTAAAACTCACACAAATGACAGACAATCTCCTCAATGAATTGTGTGCACGCCCTACACGCACTTCATCAAAAATACTACAGAGTCCCCAACCATGCTGAGCATTAGGCAGATAGAAACGTGCAGGTAACATGTGACATGTCAACCCTGAGCTAACACTTAGAATTAGTTAACAATTTTGATAGAAAAATAGATGATTACCACTAGAACTAAAGCAAAGTGGAAAAAAAAGATTTCAGTTTTCCTTTTTAGGTTTCTTTTAAAATAGTTGACAGCACTTTGAAAGACTTAAGGAAATTTGCAAAGAAGGAGACAGAAGAGTGTCCAGGAGTGTAGACACGCTCTGCAGGACTAATATTTATCAGGTAAAGTACAAGGCATCAAATTCACCCAGAAAATAAAACAGCAAAGTCAAAGATTATGTCCTTCCTAGATGTTTTCCTTCCTTTGTGATTAGCAATATCAATATTCTGATATGACACTGTGATTTTGTTCTGTACCTGCAATCTTAATGGATTTGATTCCCACTTCCTTGTTACTAATGTCTGTGTGGCAATTACTTCTGTAATCTATACAATACAGTGCTCATATTTTTTCCATTGAATTCAGAAGTTAATGTGTAATGAATTCATTATTTAAATGTTAAACTGCCTTAATTTGTCATTTTCCAATTGATACTCCAACACAATGATTTGTTGGGAAGCAGCAATCTTATCACTAAACCCATAGTATCCATGCATTCATTCATTCAGCCATTGCTACTATTGTATTGCCACTATTCATTAGTTATTTAACACTTCTTCAAAAAGGGATACAACAGATACATTTCTTAATATGCAGAACATATTGCAGCTATTTCTTTTCCTCTGTGGCAACTGCAAAAGTAGATGCCAAGGACCAGAATTAATGCACAAATTATAATGAGTCCAGGTCATGTCTTCATTAGATCCCATTCTTTTCAGCTGTGTAAAATAAGCAGACAGAGTGATGTCCTGTTGCTGGAAAAAAAAGACTGTGGGTGAATAATCTTCAGAGTTTTGATCCATCTGAGGTCTGGGTGAGTACAAAGTAATCTGGCACGAGTAGACTGTACCTGAATGGCACCTGGTGTTCTTTGGGTAAAGGGGAAGCGGGCTACAGTACCTCTTTCTGCTTTAAGACTGCTATTGTTCCAAGATTGAGTTGCGTTTTTGATGGGTTTATCCAAAAGGAAAAGATTGTTTGTCCTTTGTCTCTATTGCACTGATTATCTCCACCGTCTTTGCAGTAGCAGGAGAAGAAAGATGACAAACATGGTCAGCCAGTGCAGGCTAGGTCTGACAGCTGCAGAATAATCAGACTCACTCCGGTCAGAGCCTGGGGGAGGCTCAGAAAAGCCCAACTCTGGAGAACACATTTCATAGGTGCAGCCGCTGCCACTCCCTGAGCCACTGGCTTCGTCAACTGAAAGACAAATGGTAAAGATCAGACCTCTAGCAAGATACATTCCAGAGAGCTAGTCTGTGGAGAACACTCTTAAAGCTGTTCCTCATACCAATACACCTGACAGCACTTTCTGATTGCTAAGAGATGCCTCATAATGTGAGTTCATCAATGGTAATTTCATCATGAGATACGTGCATAGCAGACAGGAAGTTATGTTGGCAATGATTCCATGACAAAGAAATTAAACCAATGGCTATGTCCTGCACAGTGAAACCCATTATCTCACCTCCCTATAATGCAGGTTAGTTAAAATTAAGCAGCACTATTATACCATTGTATTCTTACCATAACTTTGACTCTACCCCAATGTCTTTCCAACTTGTCATATGAAAAGTTGATGTATGCAAACTGGAACCTGTTATTAACTCAACAACTTGTAAATACCAATTTTCAACTTCAATGTGAAAAAGGATCAATGGGTAAAAGTTTACTGTAAAATGCACTGAAATGCTCAGCACTGATTATAAGATAAAAGCTCAACTACTGAACTGTGACTGTGGAGCTTGTTTCAGAAAAGCCACCTTTTAGCAAAAGCCAAAAGGCTGAGGAGAATTCAATAATCTATACCCTGATTAGGAATACTGGACCTCAATCGGATTTAAACACGACAATCGCATTATCTTGTGTTGCAATTGGTTCCAGGTCTCTTATTCCCTATAGAATCTATTCAATTAGTTCTCATTTGAATAGTATAAGATGACTTGCTGAAATGTGACCTTAAGCTGTCAAATAAAGAGCGCTGAACTCAATGAGCTTCTACCAAAATAGCAAATTCAGGATTAAAAGGCAAGAGCTGTGTTACATAAATCAAGATGACCAACGGAACAGCTATGTTGAAAAATACATTGGCTATCATGGATTAAGCCAAATCTTTCAAAGTAGCTGTGGTTAGACACGTGATGTATTTTAGACTCAAAGTAGTTCCCAGCACTGCAAAAATACTAACTGGAAATATCGTATGATAGGACGTGTAAAATAGGAACAATCTGCCATTGTACTTGGGGAAGGCAAAGAGATTGGAGTGACTAATAAAGAATCATAGTTAGGTTGCAGCACAGAAGGAGGCCATTGAGTCCATTGGATCTTTATTGCTGTTGGTTCCCCTACTAGTCCTATTTGCTCTAATACCATTCTCTTGTTTTTCCTTTAATACAGGAGGTGGAAAAAGAGTCTTGACAAGGAATTAGACAAGTTTGGGGAAATGAAGAGGATTTAGGATTATTAGTTGATAAAATGCATCAAATACATATTTTGGGAAATAGATGGTTAGGTTGACTGATTTGATGGGTAAACAGTCTATTCCTATCAAACTCTTGTTTTTCTATACTCTGCACAAACATCCATGAGCTTTGAGATAACAATTTGCATTAAAATCCAACACTGATGCCTATTACATTTAGAAAAAAAAGTAAAAACTTTACATGCACCTTTTTTTCTCATTCTGGTCAGCTTTTCTGTCTGTTTACAATTCTGCGTATCAGTTTCAGCATAATTTGCAGTGGGTTTTACACAGAGGATCATTTGGCACTTACTGGAGATTTAATGAGAAGTTATTTATGCCTAACCAGAGGGACATTGCAGAATTGCAACATAATTAATTGGTGTAACTATTTAATGCTGCATCTTTATTGCCACTTGATTATTGTGACCAACTGTTGTTTGCTATCATTAATGGTGCAGCAGTAATGGATCAGACACTACAATGCCTGGCAGTGGCTTGTATACTTGCTTGGAGGTTATGGCGGTCAGGAAAGTGACTGCAGTGACTCTTACAAAATATAAGGTTGAGTGGAACTGAAGTGACAGATCATGGTAAATGTCCATCATATTCAATATGTTTGAGATCTCACTGACTTGTGTTTTCAGATGGTCATTAAAGATCCCAGGGAACTATTCAAAAAGAGGAGAGTTTCTGCCAGTGTCTTCAACAATTCCGCAGATAAAATTGGTTATTCACTTCATGGCTATTTGTGCGATATTGCTGTGCACAAATTGGTTATTGTGTTCTCCTATAAAATACGCTTTACAGCATATTGTATGAAGCGCTTTGAGACTTCCTCGTGTTGGGAAAGACACTATATCAAATATAAAGATTATTAGTATTATGTTCAGCCAGTTTGAGTCCACATTTACAAAAGCATGGTTATATAAGCTGCCTAATGTTTAAACCAGAATCAGGAGCTTTGCAGTGGTACCTACCCCAATTTCAGCAGATCATATAGCAGATGTACATAATAAATGCTCTTACTTGAATCTTGGAAGTTCACGTCATTTCCATTGTAGGCGTTCTTCAGCTTGTTGGTCATCACTCGGAGGGCCATGATTTGCTGACGGATCACAGTGTCAGGTCTTGTGATGTCCACATCCACTTCTGGGTTGTTGATCTGATTTGTCAAACCATCATTCATAATTTCTGGCAAATACCTGCAGATTTAGAGTGACAATGAGATTCAGCAATGAGTTAAAGAAAAACTAACCAGAATTGGGCCACATTACTCAACAACTGATTTCTTGCATTTCATTTTTTTTTTAAATGACAAGTTCAACTTATTTTACCAGCAACTAAATTAATCAATTATGTTTTTTCTGATTATAAGGAACAAATGAAATTGTAGGGCCAGTATTTTCGGACAAGGTGTCAAACCAAGGTCTCGTCTCCCCTGTTCAGGCAGATATTAAAGATCCTATGACACTATTTGAAAAGAGAAAGGAGTTTCTCCAGTCTTCTGGTCAACAATCCTACAGAATAAAATGGCCATTCACTTCATGGCAGTTTGTATGTCATGGCTGTACACAAAATTGGGGGGGGGGGGGGGACTCAGTTAAAGGGTTGGTCCCCTTCAAGACATTGCAGCCTTTGTAATTGTATCACCTTACCGTGCAGGCTCTGTGCCAACTTCAAAGTAGGACCACCCCCTCCACTTCCTGAAATAACACTGTCATCACTTGACTATTTTCAGAGTGGAACTAATTGCTTCATTGAGGATTTATTGTAATGACACTGCACACTTGATAACTCCCAGCCCTGTCCTTATGCTGGTGATATGTAACAGCTGCCACTGTCCGATCTGAGTATTGTGTGTAAACTAGTTTGAGCAGAGTGGCAATTTCTGGCTTATAGAGCTGCTGCACTTGTTAGTGTCTTTTCCTCCATGGCTCCTCACCTGCCCTTGTTGTGTCCGTTCCAGCATTCCTCTTCATTGGACATGCCTGCTGTCAACTTTTCATCATTGCAGATGGTGTAAGGCAATGTGGACCAGAACTTCTTTGCCAGCTTCAGCTTATCTTTAATATCAACCACCTAAAGTAGCCAAGGAGATAAAGAAATGGGACATCAGTCACCAATGTCACCAAAGCAAAGCAAGTTGAAGAAATGAGCACCTTTGGCTATAATGGAAATAGGCCTGAACAATGGAGAATGGGATTTTATATAGTATTGATATAAAACACATCCAACACACACAGGAATTTAATTAGGCTGATTAAGTTTCATCACAAAGTATTTTTGTATTTGTAAAAATAATCAAAATAATATTTTGCTAAGTATAGTATACTTTATGTATATCTCTCTCGCTGTCGAACAGCTCTACATTCCAGGTTTTCTTTTTGAGAAGCACCTCTTTAGAAACCTGAATAAAATGACATTCAACTCAAGTTACTGACAAGTGTTCACGTGACAGAAATAATCTGGAAAATGAACGTTTTTCCTCCTGGGTATCAAGCACATTTCTCTCTTGCTTGGATCAAAGTTCTAACTAAGCCTTTAATATATAGTTAAGTTTGTTATGGTTTTGTGGATCTGGAGTACCAATACTAGGAACATGTAACAAAATGGCACATCTGTAATAGGAATTTGTATCTGGTCTGGCTAGGACAGCAGATGTTTCTATCTATGACTAGCCCTTATTATCATGCTCCTAAATCTGAAGGCATGTGGAAACAACCCATTGCTAGCCAGTCCTAGAAGCTTGTTTTTCCTTCAGATGACTGGTAGTAGCTTTATTCAGAAATAAATAAATATTTTTCAAAGACATTTTGAGAAGAAACAAGTGGAACAATTGAAGCTAGTCAGAAGTTATTCTATATTTATTCCTACATTTCTTTCTTGTATGCTCACCTAAATGGATGAGAAAAAGCACTGCCAAAGCTGTCTTATCATCTCCTTATCCATATGTATACTTCCTCAGTGAGCAACAGGAAAGTATTAAAGATTCAAAGGGAGGAATACTGTACACAGGACACATTCCCTGGTAAGAGAAATGTGTGGCTGATACAAACAGTGTGGCTCATTGCACTCACTGAAATGCAGCTGAAACAAATGTCTGGCTGCAGTGGTAATGAGGTATGAATGGAAACATCTTGCTGGTTATTCGCTCATTCTCTGGTTTGATGGCAAATATCTTCATATTTTGTCAACTAGAGAAGAACGGGTGGGAGATAAGGACTGTGTTTTGGAGCATGCACATGATTGGAGTTGTTAAGAGAAGTGGAACAGACATGTAGAATCCAGTCTTGATAAGCATCCCCAGTGCCTAGAGTTCAGCAGGTTCCTAGTGGGAGAATAGCCCAGTGATGCATTCCGCTGGAATGCTCTGAACAAGCTTTGTGTTGTTATGGTTTTTAAACCAAAGAACCTTAAAAGGCGTTTTGCAATTGATTACAAAAGTGACTAATATGTTCATCTGGATTCTTTAGTGCTGCTTCTATATATAAAAAATGTTTTATACCTAGTATATCTGGCCCATGGAAATGAGTTATGAAAAAGAGCTTTAGTCGGGTCAAAGACATAGTATATGTAAAAGGATTTGAAAAGGACCCATAAAAATTGAACCTTGCTAGTTATTGAATGTGACCAGCAGGAACTCTGTTCCCCGCACCGCACCGAGAGAAAGATCTCATCAAAACAAGTTTCTACTGACTCCACACACTTATTTTCCCCCTTCGAATCATGTGACACTCTAGCACTACATGGACAATCACTCGGGATGTTTTCATTTGATCACCTTCAATTTCAACCAATAAATGCACAAAGCACTGTCACGGATAGCAACTATCAAACCAAGTCTAAAAGTCTCTTACAAACATTGCAGTAGCCTAGTCCAGAAGACCGCACAGCACATTTTCTGAAGTGCAAAAACTCTTACATATAATTTGGTACAGTCTCATCTCTCTCAGATAGATTTAGATTGACTTGCATGATGTAGCCTACGAGTTGGATGCAATTAACAAGGCCTCCACCTTCATCTCTCGCCTTCTGAAAAAATAAGTCTTGATTGATAATTTATCTCTGTCACAAGGCAGAATAACTTTTGTAATCTTTGTAGCAATGTGGAAGTCGGCAGAAGAATGATTATTTTAAACAGACCTTTATTTTACAGATAGATGTAGGTATATTTTACCACAAGTGCTCCTGATCCTGACTTCTCTAGTCAGCTCATAAATAAACAATCCCTTCCTTTTTGAGGCTGATGTACAATGCTACCAGTTCAGCTGTAACAAAATTGCATTGACCAGCATCTCACTCGCAGTCAGAGATGAGATTTCACTTATAGCAATCATCCAATCTCGAGCAACAGATTCACACCTATTCTACCAGGTGATTAAGCTATTGCCTGTATTTATGTATTAGAGTACATCTTAGAGGCAGATAATTTCATACAGAGTGAACACAGGCAAAACCGAATAGACCTGAATGATGACAGAATTAACACTCCAGATTATCAACTAACTTGATCAAAAGGAGACGAGAACAGTTTACAGCATTTAAAAAAGCAACAAACAGCTACAATCCTCCCACATGCCCTCCACAAAAATAAGATTATGAATGATTAGTCTCAATTAAATTATTTGGTTCAGTTGCAGCCTCAGTCATAGCTGGATAAACACTTTTCCGCCAATTCTTCCCACAAATGCTCCTGATCCTGACTTCTCTAGTCAGGTCATGAATAAACAATGAGTACAACAATTTACTGAGAAGACGCCTCAAGCATGGATCTGCATATTCTCTACTCATCTTTTTCTCAAGGCCCTGCATTGCCGCAATTGGAAGATATGAAAATGCAACATCTATCAAGCATTATGTTTCATTCGCATCTTTGTGAAGTTCAGATGTGTGCAACACTTTAAATTTTAATAGCTCAGTACAAAAACTACTCATTTAAACACCTCACATCTCAGATAACTCACGAAGAAGAGACTTGTCAACAATGATCAGAAATATTCCCCTAAGGTTTTTCTAAAATAACCTCCCTGTAATTTAGCAATTGTGATTTGATACATGTGACAATTTCTAACTAATATTTTCAAGAAGAAAGCCTGACATAAATCACATTGACGTGAGCGAACTCCATTCTGACACAATTTGGTGCAGAGTTCCATGGTTGCGATTTTTTCAGATTGGGCTTGAAAAAGTACTCAATGGTAAACAGTACGATACATAGCACCTTCACACCAGAAAAGTGCCTGTGGACCTAGTGTATATTTCCTCCAGGTATATCATTCACACGAACTTTGGTCCAAACTAAAATTGCCTCAGAGCTGAGTTTTGTGGGTCGTGCTAGGATTTGCTGGAGGAGGTACACTAAGTCCTAAACAGTTTTTCTATAGTTCGTGAAATTTATGTACATTTGATCATTTGTCTGTGCTGGCTCTTTTAAAGAGCAATCCTTTAAGTCTTATTTACCTACCTTTCCCCCATAAACCTATAATTTACTGCTTTCTAGATATCTATCTAGTACCCTTTGATAGCTAATATGAATTCTGCCTCAACCACCTAACTCAGTTAACTCTTTTCCAGTATAAGCATCTCCAGCTTCTGCAATCTTCTTTCTTGTGTCAGATGCTAATCCCATGCTAATTTATTTGTTCTTCATTGTATCTCTTCCAGTTCTAGGATGTCATTGCTGTAACGTGAACCTCAGGAATGTTCACAATATTCCAAATGAGACCATGTCAATGCTTTGTACACCACAGTTATTACATCCTGTGATTTATGTTCCAGCCTCCAGCTATAAATCCTAATTCTTCATTTGTCTTTTTTACTGCTGATGTAGTGCTACGTGAGATCAAAGATATGTTAAGTTGTTTTAACTTCTGTTACATTTAGCACATTTAATACTAAAAGACAGCGTAAAATGTGATACCAAACCCAGCTCCCCAAGCCATCTCAGGAAGCATTTCTGGAATTGAAACAACTTTTAACCTTAAAGTTTTTTTAAAAAATTCTTTCAATTAGAATACTCAAGTCCCCAAAAAGTTATTCATGTTTGTATAATTGATACATTTCAAAACAGCTAATAAATTCTAACAGGTAGTCCAGTGAAGTTTGCTGTGGACCATTCTTGACAAGCAAAAACATTACTCCTCCAAAACACTCTCACATGACCTCTCTAATTACTGTCAGAAAATGACCCCTTCAATTACTGTCGGTAAGCTAGGCAAGTAAAGACACAAGACAATGTTCTATATTTTGACAGCTTCCTGTTTTATCATAGTTTACTGCACAATAGAATTTCTCTGTAAAATAGCTAAGAGTTTAAAATTGGCTTGTGAAAATGTGTGCAATCGGATAATAAAACGCCGTGCCCCTTTTTTTAATATTGACATCTTTGGAATCCGAGGTTGTCTTGAAGGGGAAAGTCATTTACAAACCTTTTTTCCTAAAGATTGCAACTGGTGGTTTAATTTTTCTAAGTGCTTTTTGAGATGGGGGAAGCAATCAGGATTCATACTGCACAATTTCATCTCTAAATCAGAAGGGAGTAGCTGGATGTCTCAGCTTTATCCTTATAATTGTGGGCATACCAGCACTTTGTTCAGTAGGCTGCATGGAGCAGTAAAGCAATAATGAAACATGTCAGCGAATTTCATGTACATAATACAATCATTCTTCTCTCTGCTACTCTCCAGGATTGACTATGTCAAGACGACATGTCAAGGTCGCATGAACAGTGTATGGTTAGAAAGTGATAAATATCTTTTTAAAAATCCTGTTGAGTAGACAGAAAGACATTCATATTTTCTTTAGAAACAATACAATTTACATTTATATAGCACCTCATCCTCATATCAGGAGGATGTCGGTGAACTTAGCCACCCGAGTTGGGAGTCGGAGCCATAGGGGGTATAGAGGGATAATTTCATCCACAAACAATTTTGCCTTTAAGAAAACTGATCTGTTGTAATTTTCTCCCCACAGTTTAGGTGGAAATTGCTGTGCTCTTAAATCCTACAAACATTTTATCCATTAATTATTTTTGGGAATAGAACATTTAGCCTGATAAAATTTGACTTTTTAATTTT